ATAGCAATAGTATGTGTTATATAACTCAATCATAGCAATAGTGTGTGTTATATAACTTAATCATAGCAATAGTGTGTGTTATATAACTTAATCATAGCAAGTGTGTGTTATATAACTCAGACATAGCAATAGTGTGTGTTATATAACTTAATCATAGCAATAGTGTGTGTTATATAACTCAATCATAGCAATAGTGTGTGTTATATAACTTAATCATAGCAATAGTGTGTGTTATATAACTTAATCATAGCAATAGTGTGTGTTATATAACTTAATCATAGCAAGTGTGTGTTATATAACTCAGACATAGCAATAGTGTGTGTTATATAACTCAATCATAGCAATAATGTGTGTTATATAACTCAATCATAGCATTAGTGTGTGTTATATAACTTAATCATAGCAATAGTGTGTGTTATATAACTCAATCATAGCAATATTGTGTGTTATATAACTCAATCATAGCAACAGTGTGTGTTATATAACTCAGACATAGCAAAAGTGTGTGTCAGACATAGCAACATAACTCAATCATAGCAATAGTGTGTGTTATATAACTCAATCATAGCAATAGTGTGTGTTATATAACTCAGATCATAGCAATATTGTGTGTTATATAACTTAATCATAGCAATAGTGTGTGTTATATAACTTAATCATAGCAACAGTGTGTGTTATATAACTCAATCATAGCAATAGTGTGTGTTATATAACTTAATCATAGCAAGTGTGTGTTATAACTCAATCATAGCAATAGTGTGTGTTATATAACTTAATCATAGCAACAGTGTGTGTTATATAACTCAGACATAGCAATATTGTGTGTTATATATCTCAGACATAGCAATATTGTGTGTTATATAACTCAATCATAGCAATAGTGTGTGTTATATAACTCAATCATAGCAATAGTGTGTGTTATATAACTCAATCATAGCAATAGTGTGTGTTATATAGCTCAGACATAGCAATAGTGTGTGTTATATAACTCATACATAGCAATAGTGTGTGTTATATAACTCAATCATAGCAATAGTGTGTGTTATATAACTTAATCATAGCAATAGTGTGTGTTATATAAAATCATAGCAACAGTGTGTGTTATATAACTCAATCATAGCAATAGTGTGTGTTATATAACTCAGATCATAGCAATAGTGTGTGTTATATAACTCAATCATAGCAATAGTGTGTGTTATATAACTTAATCATAGCAATAGTGTGTGTTATATAACTCAATCATAGCAATAGTGTGTGTTATATAACTTAATCATAGCAATAGTGTGTGTTATATAACTCAATCATAGCAATAGTGTGTGTTATATAACTCAATCATAGCAATAGTGTGTGTTATATAACTCAATCATAGCAATATTGTGTGTTATATAACTCAATCATAGCAATAGTGTGTGTTATATAACTTAATCATAGCAATAGTGTGTGTTATATAACTTAATCATAGCAATAGTGTGTGTTATATAACTTAATCATAGCAATAGGGTGTGTTATATAACTCAGACATAGCAATATTGTGTTTTATATAACTTAATCATAGCAATAGTGTGTGTTATATAACTTAATCATAGCAACAGTGTGTGTTATATAACTCAATCATAGCAATAGTGTGTGTTATATAACTTAATCATAGCAATAGTGTGTGTTATATAACTCAATCATAGCAATAGTGTGTGTTATATAACTTAATCATAGCAACAGTGTGTGTTATATAACTGAGTCATAGCAAGAGTGTGTGTTATATAACTAAGTCATAGCAATAGTGTGTGTTATATAACTCAATCATAGCAATAATCATAGCAATAGTGTGTGTTATATAGCTCAGACATAGCAATAGTGTGTGTTATATAACTTAATCATAGCAAAAGTGTGTGTTATATAACTCAGACATAGCAATAGTGTGTGTAATATAGCAACAGTGTGTGTATATATAACATATAGTGTGTGTTATATAACTCAGACATAGCAATAGTGTGTGTTATATAACTCAATCATAGCAATAGTGTGTGTTATATAACTTAATCATAGCAACAGTGTGTGTTATATAACTCAGACATAGCAACAGTGTGTGTTATATAACTCAGACATAGCAACAGTGTGTGTTATATAACTCAGACATAGCAACAATGTGTGTTATATAACTCAGACATAGCAATAGTGTGTGTTATATATCTCAGACATAGCAATAGTGTGTGTTATATAACTCAATCATAGCAATAGTGTGTGTTATATAACTTAATCATAGCAACAGTGTGTGTTATATAACTAAATCATAGCAATAGTGTGTGTTATATAACTCAGACATAGCAATATTGTGTGTTATATAACTCAGACATAGCGATGGTCTTATATATTATGAGCATGTCTTTGGTGTCATAAAATATTTGTAACTTCTAGGACAACCATTTCGAATATATAAAACAACGTGAAACATTATGATGTAGTAGATTTCACATGAACTGATGTTGCATCCTGACCAATAAAGGAGAAGATAGTTCTGCTATGAATGATGGATAAAATACAGCTGTGTATGAAGAGTTCCTGGACGTACGAGGACACCAAATGCTGTTCATTTGAGAATTTATTTACTTCACAGGTACATTTTATTGTCAAAATTCATGAAAAATTACTTTCTATTTAAATAATGTATTTCCATGAATATTCATTACTTCAGTTTTAGGCCATTAACTAAAATAATCAGCAGATGATCTAACAGGACACCAATTTTTCAACCAACAAGTTTTTTGGGGTACTAATTCGCTGATCTAACAGGACACCAATTTTTCAACCAACAAGTTTTTTGGGGTACTAATTCGCTGATCTAACGGGACACCAATTTTTCAACCAACAAGTTTTTTGGGGTACTAATTCGCTGATCTAACAGGACACCAATTTTTCAACCAACAAGTTTTTTGGGGTACTAATTCGCTGATCTAACAGGACACCAATTTTTCAACCAACAAGTTTTTTAGGGTACTAATTCGCTGATCTATCAGGACACCAATTTTTCAACCAACAAGTTTTTTGGGGTACTAATTCGCTGATCTAACGGGACACCAATTTTTCAACCGACATTTTTTTGGGGGTACTAATTCGCTGATCTAACGGGACACCGATTTTTCAACCAACAAGTTTTTTGGGGTACTAATTCGCTGATCTAACGGGACACCAATTTATCAACCGACATTTTTTTGGGGGTACTAATTTGCTGATCTATCAGGACACCAATTTTTCAACCAACAAGTTTTTTGGGGTACTAATTCGCTGATCTAACGGGACACCAATTTTTTAAACCAACAAGTTTTTTGGGGTACTAATAGGTAATATAAACTGAATGAATAATATCTTTACAGATTTTAAAATTTATGTTTATATTTGAAAGAAATTTTTCTCTTGACAATGACTTTATTCACTAGTTGCAATTCTGGTGTCCTGCATTACATCCAGTTCAAAATCTGAGAATAGATACACCTGTTATACAACAGGAAATTCCAATGTTAAAACTAATGTCATGTCAAGTTGCTTTACATAGATTTAATGTCTATGCACATTCCATCATCAAAGTAGTAAACCTATTGCAGAATGGAATTACGTAACGAAGACACTAAATTATGTTTGGTGAACCTGTGCGTCCAAGGAACAACTACCTATATGATATGCCACATGCTTCTTATCCACCATTTGTTAAATATAGAATGGCCTTTCTTATAGATTTTAGGTTTTCTTGTGTAATATTAAATATATCAATCACATCTAAGAGTAATTTACCAGGACGTAACACTGGATGCTTAACTGCATCAAACAATATTTTTTGGTTGTTATATTCTTGTTTGAGGAAGGAGCAGAAGTAACAAACACATGCTCTTTGTCCAATGTAAGGTATATTCTGTGGCATTCCTTATTTTTCCGTCTTGAGCGATTGCATCTAAATGAAATAAAAACCATTGAATATGCATATGTCTCTTGTCTGATCAAATTTTTAAAATATGTATCACATGTTTTTGCATTGATTAATTTGATTTCTTTTATTTTGTCCCTTGTAACAGGATTTTTATAGGTCACCTGAGGCAAAGTCTCATGCTGACCTATTCTAATCACCTTCATCAGGCGCCATCCATCCATAAGCAATTTAACATTTTCGATTTCTTTTTAAAAACCTCTGATCTGATTTCAATGAAATTTTGCAGAAACCATCCCTGGATTTCAAAACTTTTCTTCTCAACACCCAGATATGGTAGAATCAAATACTCTTCATGCATGGAAGCATTTTAAGGAGCTTTACCAAAATTATGAATTTCATGGCCCCAGGGTCTCGCATATCCCCGTGGGGAGGGGGTAAAGTTTACTGTAGTTTATATAGGCAAAATAGATTTTTGAGCATAATTTGTTTAATTTCCATTGGAAATATTTCAAACTTGGTTAGAATTATAAGTGAAGGATGACAACTTCATGGTATGCCCATTTTGATCCTGACTGACCTCTACGGGCTGATGGGTGGGACCAAAAGGGTTCATATTGACTTATATTTCAAAAATCTTCTTCTCAGCACCCAGATATGGTAGAATCAAATACTCATCATGAATGGAAGCATCTTAAGGTGCTTTTACTACCAAAATGAATCTCAAATTTTCTCCAGGGGAGGAATATTTTTGTTTAGACTTTACCGTAATTCTCATAGAGAAATGGTATTTTTGAGCATAACGTTGTTTATTTCCGACTGGAAATAACTTTATTAGAATAATCAGTATAGGATGACAGTTTTGATGGAATGCATGTATTGACACTGTCTATATTCAGTGTCACAATTTCTGTTTCATGACACTTTAACCTATACAAACAATATTGCTATCTCAGATGACTGTCAAGACTGCTAGGCCTCTTGTCATTTTACTGTATAATGAAGCAGTTTGTGTTCAGTGTCTTCTGTCTTCACTTTGAGGTGTAATTTTCCAGTTGGATTTTACCTGTGACTCATGTTTCAACAGGTCCTGGTTGTCGGAGGTGGTGATGGAGGCGTTGTTCGTGAAGTCCTGAAACATAACATCCAGAGTGTGGTTCTATGTGAAATTGATGAGGTATAACATTGATTTGATTATATATTTTTTCCTTTGTCCCAGAAATATAAGATCTAAATATGATTGTACTATTACAGATTTTAGCCAATCATCATAGGCTGTTCAAATCACTATTCATCCATGGTCCATCCTTAAACATTTCTATTTATTATTTGGATCTTTCTCAAAGTTCCTCCTGATTCCTGGTATTGCTCACTTCATTTTAAGTTGGATCAGAAAAAAGTTAATAGTTAAGAGTCAAAAATGGTTGGCCCAGAAAAATCAACTTTTGATAAATTGACAACACTAGGGCAATTGGTCACATTCAAATCAGGTACCAGATATACCACCTTCAAATCAGGCACCAGATATACCACCTTCAAATCAGGCACCAGATATACCACCTTCAAATCAGGCACCAGATATACCACCTTCAAATCAGGCACCAGATATACCACCTTCAAATCAGGCACCAGGTATACCACCTTCAAATCAGGCACCAGGTATACCACCTTCAAATCAGGCACCAGATATACCACCTTCAAATCAGGCACCAGGTATACCACCTTCAAATCAGGCACCAGGTATACCACCTTCAAATCGGGCACCAGGTATACCACCTTCAAATCGGGCACCAGGAATACCACCTTCAAATCAGGCACCAGGTAGGTATACCACCCACCCAAGATATCAAATCAGGCACCAGGTATACCACCCTCAAATCAGGCACCGGGATATACCACCTTCAAATCAGGCACCAGATATACACCTTCAAATCAGGCACCAGATATACCACCTCAAATCAGGCACCAGGTAACCATCAGGCACCAGGTATACCACCTTCAAATCAGGCACCAGATATACCACCTTCAAATCAGGCACCGGGTATACCACCCTCAAATCAGGCACCGGGTATCCCACCCTCAAATCAGGCACCAGGTATACCACCCTCAAATCAGGCACCGGGTATACCACCTTCAAATCAGGCACCGGGTATACCAACTTCAAATCAGGCACCGGATATAGCACCTTCAAATCAGGCACCTGGTATACCACCTTCAAATCAGGCACCGGATATACCACCTTCAAATCAGGCACCGGGTATACCACCCTCAAATCAGGCACCGGGTATACCACCCTCAAATCAGTCACCGGGTATACTATTCTCAAATCAGGCACCGGGTATACCACCCTCAAATCAGGCACCGGGTATCCCACCCTCAAATCAGGCATCGGGTATACCACCTTCAAATCAGGCACTGGGTATACCACCCTCAAATCAGGCACCGGGTATACCACTCTCAAATCAGGCACCGGGTATACCACCCTCAAATCAGGCACCGGGTATCCCACCCTCAAATCAGGCACCGGGTATACCACCCTCAAATCAGGCACCGGGTATCCCACCCTCAAATCAGGCACCGGGTATACCACCCTCAAATCAGGCACCAGGTATACCACCTTCAAATCAGGCACAAGGTATGACAGAATACATAGTCACCTGTAAAACATTACCATTGATGGTTGTACATGTACGTACATCAAAATTTGGCATCCGCCCATTTTAATTGTCAGTGGAATTTTATGTTAGGAACCAGAGACAGCAAATTACTCATTTAACACTATCAAGTGATAGATCTTTTTTTATTGTCTACAGTATGTCTTCAGTACACTTAAATGATACCATGATCAAACCTCTATCATCACTTACAGTGTAACCTACAACATCTAGTCAGAATTCGGGATCAGGACTTTCTAAGTTTTGACAGAGTGATTCAGAACAATGTGTATCAACTGATCACATTTTTAGGCTGCTGCGCCGTACAGCGTTGAGTTTTTTACAGAAGATTATCATCTCTTAATTCCTAAACTCCTGTATAAATATCCTATCTGTACACTGTAACCTGCCATGAGACTTTTCTTTATTGATGGAATATATTTATCATTTCAGCAAGTTGTAGAGGTGAGTAAAAAGTACCTCCCTGAAATGTCCAAGTGTTTTGGAGACCCAAGACTGCGTGTGTTAATCGGTGATGGCGTAGAGTTCATGAAACAGAATAAGGGAGAGTTTGATGTGATTATTACAGATGCTCCAGACCCGATAGGTAAGTAGAAGTAATCTTGATACTCATCATCACTCTTACAGGTTACAGGAACCAGGAGGTAATAATAATGTCATATCTAGTAATAACCCCATGTCTGGTAAAACCCAGTGTCTGGTAATAAGCCCATATCTAGTAATAAACCCAATGCTTGGTAATAACCCCATGTCTGGTAAAACCCATTGTCTGTTAATAAGCCCATATCTAGTAATAAACCCAATGCTTGGTAATAACCCCATGTCTGGTAAAACCCAGTGACTGGTAATAAGCCCATATCTAGTAATAAATCCAATGCTTGGTAATAACCCCATGTCTGGTAAAACCCATTGTCTGGTAATAAGCCCATATCTAGTAATAAACCCATGACTGGTAAAACCCAGTGTCTGGTAATAAGCCCATATCTAGTAATAAACCCATTGCTTGGTAATAACCCCATGTCTGGTAAAACCCAGTGACTGGTAATAAGCCCATATCTAGTAATAAACCCATGACTGGTAAAACCCAGTGTCTGGTAATAAGCCCATATCTAGTAATAAACCATATGCTTGGTAATAACCCCATGTCTGGTAGTAACCCAGTGTCTGGTAATAAGCCCATATTTAGTAATAAACCCTATGCTTGGTAATAACCCCATGTCTGGTAGTAACCTAGTGTCTGGTAATAAGCCCATATCTAGTAATAAACCCTATGCTTGGTAATAACCCCATGTCTGGTAGTAACCCAGTGTCTGGTAATAAGTATATGTTGGGTGATAAATAAGTCTATAACTGATAATAAGCCCTCCAATGTCTGTTGCTGTTGCTCAAAATTTGTGGTTTTCTAAACATATTCTTTTTATTGACACTTGATTTCATATAAACTTTATCTCTTTCACAAAAATTGCGAAAGAAGCGATCAGCTTATGTGAATCACTCGTGTTGGCCTGGATGGAAGTGGGCAGGGGGTTTCTTAATGTAGGAGGAAATTGGGGCACTAAGGGAAAACCAGATCGGTGACATCATACCTTCTCACATTTGCTGCGGGTATGGAACTCCCGAGGGCAAGGTGCAAGGCAAGGAGTGAATAACCACCGCACCACCCAACCACTTGATTTCATGAATAAATCTTCCTCACAAAATCCACCTCCACTTACGTCTGTCCGTTACACCATAGACATGGAAGAACATTTCCCAATAATTAAATAAGTCTCCACAAAATCAAGGATTGTACACTTTATTATCACACAGGTGTAGCCAAAGGTTTGTTTGAAACAGATTACTACAATAGTATGAAGACAGCAATGGCTCCTGGGGGTATTGTATGCTCACAAGGTAAGACCATGCAGAAAATCACTCTTCAACATCGTATTGGCCAGCTTTATGCTTATTATGCTTATAAGGAATAATGCTAAACTGTATATTTAAGAAAGGCATCGTCTTCATATATATTTGTATGTAAAATATCAAAAGTATTTTAATCTCCACATCCTGATGATAAGGAAACTAACATATTATTATGTTTTTCTACAGGTGAGAGTTTCTATTTTGACTTGGAATTTATTCGAAACTTTTTAACAATGGCACGCACATCTTTTCCCAGTGTAGGGTTTGCCTACACGCTTATGCCAAGCTACACAGGTGGCCATATTGGATTTGTTATGTGCAGCACGAACCCGGTATGTACAGCTATCTTTTTGTTTGTACATATAGTTACTATCCACCAATAAGTCAGTGCCTGGTTATAAGCCCGCTCATTTCCTAGTCTTGCTACTTTAAGTTATGTCTTAACTTTGTCCTGAAGTTGTCTTTAACTGCCTTGCTATAAGGTTGCATCTTCTAATCACCTTTTGTACCATAGCAATGTCACACTGGGATAACATTATCATTTTTTTGGTATATTTGTAGCACTTTTGAGAATAACTTTGCCCTAAGATAGAAAAAATGATGGGAGAAAACCCTGCCCTAAGATAGAAAAAATGATGGGAGAAAACATAAATCACTTCTTTGTTTCAAAGATTGGAATCGCTTTAAAAGGATGGGAGAAGTAAAAAGGTTTGGAACTTCTCTGTGTAAAAACCTTTCACTTTCTAGCCCAGATGTAGCCATCACTTATCTTTGACTAGATGAAATACTAGTGTGGGTGATGAAAAAAAATAGATCTTGTATTCTGTCATCTTGTCTTGAGTTTCTCTTTCCGCTGGCAAATATTAGAACATTCACATTGACATTTTACCTGGACTGGATACATTGTATATCCTAAAGTAGACACGACAATAATATAATGTACGGTTTCCAGGATGTGGTGTTTGAGGAGCCAGTTAAATGTTACACAGATGAAGAGATTTGTCGGATGGATCTCCGCTATTACAACACAGCTATACATCGTGCAGCCTTTGTCTTACCACAGTTTGTTAAAAAGGTAGGCTAAATTTACTCTTACAATGCCCTGATGGAAAGTTAGAGTAGTTGAAATATCTGTCTCCCATATAACAGATATAGTCTTTATCTTCCACAGAACAATGGAGGTACCGGTAAGTCTTTTTTATCTCATACAAAGAACAAAGGAGATAAATCTGTTCTATTTTCACACACAGAACAAGGGAGGTAAATCTGTTTTATCTCACACATAGAACAGAGGAGAAAGAGTTAATGGTTCACATAGACCAGCAAAGATCAATCTAATTTTCACACACGGAATAGGACAGGTAAATGTATTCCTTATATCACACAGAACAGGACAGGTAAATGTATTCCTTATATCACACAGGACAGGTAAATGTATTCCTTATATCACACACAGAACAGGACAGGTAAATGTATTCCTTATATCACACACAGAACAGGACAGGTAAATGTATTCCTTATATCACACAGAACAGGACAGGTAAATGTATTCCTTATCACACAGAACAGGACAGGTAAATGTATTCCTTATATCACACACAGAACAGGACAGGTAAATGTATTCCTTATATCACACACAGAACAGGACAGGTAAATGTATTCCTTATCACACAGAACAGGACAGGTAAATGTATTCCTTATATCACACACAGAACAGGACAGGTAAATGTATTCCTTATATCACACACAGAACAGGACAGGTAAATGTATTCCTTATATCACACAGAACAGGACAGGTAAATGTATTCCTTATATCACACAGAACAGGACAGGTAAATGTATTCCTTATATCACACACAGAACAGGACAGGTAAATGTATTCCTTATATCACACACAGAACAGGACAGGTAAATGTATTCCTTATATCACACAGAACAGGACAGGTAAATGTATTCCTTATATCACACAGAACAGGACAGGTAAATGTATTCCTTATATCACACAGAACAGGACAGGTAAATGTATTCCTTATATCACACAGAACAGGACAGGTAAATGTATTCTGTATATCACACACAGAACAGGACAGGTAAATGTATTCCTTATATCACACAAAACAGGACAGGTAAATGTATTCCTTATATCACACAGAACAGGACAGGTAAATGTATTCCTTATATCACACAGAACAGGACAGGTAAATGTATTCCTTATATCACACACAGAACAGGACAGGTAAATGTATTCCTTATATCACACACAGAACAGGACAGGTAAATGTATTCCTTATATCACACAGAACAGGACAGGTAAATGTATTCCTTATATCACACACAGAACAGGACAGGTAAATGTATTCCTTATATCACACAGAACAGGACAGGTAAATGTATTCCTTATATCACACAGAACAGGACAGGTAAATGTATTCCTTATATCACACACAGAACAGGACAGGTAAATGTATTCCTTTTATCACACAGAACAGGACAGGTAAATGTATTCCTTATATCAGACACAGAACATGACAAGTAAATGTATTCCTTATCACACAGAACAGGACAGGTAAATGTATTCCTTATATCACACAGAACAGGACAGGTAAATGTATTCCTTATATCACACAGAACAGGACAGGTAAATGTATTCTGTATATCACACACAGAACAGGACAGGTAAATGTATTCCTTATATGACACAGAACAGGACAGGTAAATGTATTCCTTATCACACACAGAACAGGACAGATAAATGTATTCCTTATATCACACAGAACAGGACAGGTAAATGTATTCCTTATATCACACAGAACAGGACAGGTAAATGTATTCCTTATATCACACAGAACAGGACAGGTAAATGTATTCCTTATATCACACAGAACAGGACAGGTAAATGTATTCCTTATATCACACACAGAACAGGACAGGTAAATGTATTCCTTATATCACACACAGAACAGGACAGGTAAATGTATTCCTTATATCACACAGAACAGGACAGGTAAATGTATTCCTTATATCACACAGAACAGGACAGGTAAATGTATTCCTTATATCACACACAGAACAGGACAGGTAAATGTATTCCTTATATCACACAGAACAAGACAGGTAAATGTATTCCTTATATCACACAGAACAGGACACGTCAATGTATTTCTTATATCAAACAGAAAAGGACAGGTAAATGTATTCCTTATATGACACAGAACAGGACAGGTAAATGTATTCCTTATATGACACAGAACAGGACAGGTAAATGTATTCCTTATATCACACAGAACAGGACAGGTAAATGTATTCCTTATATCACACACAGAACAGGACAGGTCAATGTCTTCCTTATATCACACAGAACAGGACAGGTCAATGTTTTCCTTATATCACACACAGAACAGAACAGGTAAATGTTTTCCTTATATCACACACAGAACAGAACAGGTAAATGTATTCCTTATATCACAAACATAACAGGACAGGTAAATGTATTCCTTATATCACACAGAACAGGACAGGTAAATGTATTCCTTATATCACACACAGAACAGGACAGGTAAATGTATTCCTTATATCACACAGAACAGGACAGGTAAATGTATTCCTTATATCACACAGAACAGGACAGGTAAATGTATTCCTTATATCACACAGAACAGGACAGGTAAATGTATTCTTCATATCACAGGACACACATCACACACAGAACAGGACAGGTAAAATGTATATCACACACAGAACCTTATATCCTTATATCACACAGAACAGGACAGATAAATGTATTCCTTATATCACACACAGGACAGGACAGGTAAATGTATTCCTTATATCACACAGAACAGGACAGGTAAATGTATTCCTCATATCACACAGAACAGAACAGGACAGGTAAATGTATTCCTTATATCACACAGAACAGGACAGGTAAATGTATTCCTTATATCACACAGAACAGGACAGGTAAATGTATTCCTTATATCACACAGAACAGGACAGGTAAATGTATTCCTTATATGACACAGAACAGGACAGGTAAATGTATTCCTTATCACACACAGAACAGGACAGGTAAATGTATTCCTTATCACACACAGAACAGGACAGATAAATGTATTCCTTATATCACACACAGGACAGGACAGGTAAATGTATTCCTTATATCACACAGAACAGGACAGGTAAATGTATTCCTTATATCACACAGAACAGGACAGGTAAATGTATTCCTTATATCACACAGAACAGGACAGGTAAATGTATTCCTTATATCACACAGAACAGGACAGGTAAATGTATTCCTTATATCACACAGAACAGGACAGGTAAATGTATTCCTTATATCACACAGAACAGGACAGGTAAATGTATTCCTTATATCACACACAGAACAGGACAGGTAAATGTATTCCTTATATCACACACAGAACAGGACAGGTAAATGTATTCCTTATATCACACAGAACAGGACAGGTAAATGTATTCCTTATATCACACAGAACAGAAAAGGACAGGTAAATGTATTCCTTATCATCAACAGAACAGGACAGGTAAATGTATTCCTTATATCACACAGAACAGGACAGGTAAATGTATTCCTTATATCACACAGAACAGGACAGGTAAATGTATTCCTTATATCACACAGAACAGGACAGGTAAATGTATTCCTTATATCACACACAGAACAGGACAGGTAAATGTATTCCTTATATCACACACAGAACAGGACAGGTAAATGTATTCCTTATATCACACAGAACAGGACAGGTAAATGTATTCCTTATATCACACAGAACAGGACAGGTAAATGTATTCCTTATATCACACACAGAACAGGACAGGTAAATGTATTCCTTATATCACACAGAACAGGACAGGTAAATGTATTCCTTATATCACACACAGAACAGGACAGGTAAATGTATTCCTTATATCACACAGAACAGGACAGGTAAATGTATTCCTTATATCACACACAGAACAGGACAGGTAAATGTATTCCTTATATCACACAGAACAGGACAGGTAAATGTATTCCTTATATCACACACAGAACAGGACAGGTAAATGTATTCCTTATATCACACAGAACAGGACAGGTAAATGTATTCCTTATATCACACAGAACAGGACAGGTAAATGTATTCCTTATATCACACACAGAACAGGACAGGTAAATGTATTCCTTATATCACACAGAACAGGACAGGTAAATGTATTCCTTATATCACACAGAACAGGACAGGTAAATGTATTCCTTATATCACACACAGAACAGGACAGGTAAATGTATTCCTTATATCACACACAGAACAGGACAGGTAAATGTATTCCTTATATCACACAGAACAGGACAGGTAAATGTATTCCTTATATCACACAGAACAGGACAGGTAAATGTATTCCTTATATCACACAGAACATGACAGGTAAATGTATTCCTTATATCACACAGAACAGGACAGGTAAATGTATTCCTTATATCACACACAGAACAGGACAGGTAAATGTATTCCTTATATCACACAGAACAGGACAGGTAAATGTATTCCTTATATCACACAGAACAGGACAGGTAAATGTATTCCTTATATCACACAGAACAGGACAGGTAAATGTATTCCTTATATCACACACAGAACAGGACAGGTAAATGTATTCCTTATATCACACAGAACAGGACAGGTAAATGTATTCCTTATATCACACAGAACAGGACAGGTAAATGTATTCCTTATATCACACAGAACAGGACAGGTAAATGTATTCCTTATATCACACAGAACAGGACAGGTAAATGTATTCCTTATATCACACACAGAACAGGACAGGTAAATGTATTCCTTATATCACACAGAACAGGACAGGTAAATGTATTCCTTATATCACACAGAACAGGACAGGTAAATGTATTCCTTATATCACACACAGAACAGGACAGGTAAATGTATTCCTTATATCACACAGAACAGGACAGGTAAATGTATTCCTTATATCACACACAGAACAGGACAGGTAAATGTATTCCTTATATCACACACAGAACAGGACAGGTAAATGTATTCCTTATATCAC